CGTATGTTTTCGCTTGGGCGTTCTGAAAGGGGGCGGGGTAGGCCTTTGGGGATTGTGGCCAGAGGTTGAAGACTGCAGCCTCCCTTCCTGACTGAATGGGTTTAGGATGGGGGTTTTAGGGTTTAGGGTTTGAGGTTTAGGGTTTAGGGTTTAGGGTGTAGAGTTTAGGGTAGGGAGTTTCGGATCTAGGGGTAGGGTTTAGGGTTTAGGGTTCAGTGTCTAACCCCTAAACCGACCCTATGAGTTTTGCCGTAGAGATTGCTGGAAGAGTTACCTTGAAGCCTATTACAGGGATTGCGCTCATGCGTCTACGAAGAGCATGGACCACTCACCCTACGGGGCCATGTGCCCATAATTCTGGTAAACACGGTGGTCTTCAAACAGCAGAACAGGAATTTGCTTCAGGCTTTAAGAGCGTTTTCAGGGTTTAGGGCTTAGGGATACATATTATATATATATATATTAATTAATTAAATGCTTATATATATATATATATAGGGACATGCTAGTAGCATCTGAATATAATCTCACACACTCCGAAAAGGGACTCGCAGCCCAAAGCTGTCCAAAATCCTGGGCCTGTAAGCCGAAACCTGAACCGTCGAACCGCAAGGCCGAAAGCCCGAATCGTAGCCTTAAGATAGGCGCTTACATGATTGCCTATACTGTTTTGGGGGTTCTTTAGTAGAATTAGAGTATAATGGGCCCCAACACCCTATTCTAAAAACCCTAAACCCTAAACCCTAAACCCTAAACCCTAAACCCTAAACCCTAAACCCTAAACCAGGCCTCTATGTCACAATCTAAACCCCAAGTCTCACAACCCGAAGTTGCAAACCTCGACCCTGAAGCCTTCACTCTGAGCCGAAAGAGTAACCCAAAAAAGGAGCCCTGAAGGAACCCTTTAAAGGAACTTGATAGGGTTCTACAATAGGTCATCCTTTAAGGGTACTATAGGGTTCTATAATCGGGTCCCTTTTAAACCTAGTAGTAGGGTAGGTAACCTTTAACCTTTTTGGGGTAGTACAATCCCTATATAACCCCTATATAACCCCAAAGGTTAACCTTTAGTTCCCCATGATACCTGACAAGTAAGTAAAGGAACCCTATACGCAGGTGGGGAGGACAGGGAGGCTTCCCGGGAGACAGCGCTGGCTCCCGACGAGGCCATAGGTGAATTGGCCGTGACGGTTTAGGGTTTAGGGTTTAGGGTTTAGGGTTTAGGGTTTAGGGTTTAGGGTTTAGGTTTTATTTGCAAAAATTCGCGCAGGAGGCTTCAAACCCTAAACTCTAAGCACTGACCTGCAGGTTGTGAGTGAATGTTCGGCGGGGCTGGGAAAGGTACGGGACGCGAATACAGAGCCCCAGACAGTAGAATCGTTAGCATACCGATCCCTAAACCCTTGACCCTCGACCATAAAGGGTGCTCCTGGATAAGGTACTCCTAATCTGACGGAAGACCCTCATACTTACTTCATCATACTCTGCCACTGGTATCCAGCTACGCGGTTTAGTGTGTAGGGGCTGGTTTAAGGTTCTAGGCTTTAGCAGTTCGGGACCCTGGTTAAAGACCGTTTGGTAAGGTTCTACGGCTCATGATATACATCCTGGTTTACCCATAATAAGGAATGTACCATAATTCGCATAGTTTAGGGTCCTTCAGGTAATGCAGGATTTATATCATCAACAGTAGGGTTTAGTGTTTCGGGACTTTGGTTAAGCACCGGCCAGATAGTCGCTCCATTTTGCAGGTCAGATTAAAAGTGCAACTAGCTCAGAGGCACTCGTGCACAAAAGAGATAGCTGGTTTTAAGATGTGCATGTCCAGACACTAAACGCTAAACCCTAAACCCTAAACCTTGTTTAATGTTACATACCTCAAGATAAAGTAACGGGGCACTTCGATAGAAGCCTTGTGACCTTGTAGACCCCTTTCACTTTGGAACTCTGATATGATAAGTAGAACCCACAGTGGCAGCCCCAAGCCGCAGCATCCCGTAGTCAGGTACAGCTGCTGGCCGCTGCAGGCTATACGGTCCGGCTCCTTGAGAGGGAAGTGGGGTTTAGTAGGGTTTCGGGTTCAAGGTTTTAGGGTTTGGCTTCGGGCGCTTTGTAAAGTGCCACGCCAATTTGCAAAAGACGGTAGACTCACCGAACCTCGTAAACCTATAGTTCCCACAAGATACTACGGTTGAAGCTTCAATCCGTCACCTGGATGCCAACAACACCCTGAACCCTACGCCCCAAGCCATAAGCCCAAACGACACCAGATCATCTAAGACCGGACAAATAGTTGAATGGCTATATACGAGTTCACAGATGAACTAAATGACACATGCACGCACAACGTATGTGTGTGTGTGTGAGTTATTACAATACTCATCATATCCCCAAGAATCACCATCAGCATCACAAGAATCAAACAACTATTAGTGATAGTGCAACACCCTAAGCCCTATAACCCTAAAACCCTAAGCCCTAAGCCCCTAAATCTCTAACCCTAAACCCTAAAACCCTAAGCCCTAAACCCCTAAACCTTAAACCCTGAACCCCTAAACCCTGAACCCCTAAACCTTAAACTCTGAACCCCTAGACCCTAAAACCCTAAAGCCTAAATCCTGAACCCCCAAACCCCTGAACCCCTTAACCCTAAACCCCTCATCCTTTAGCCAAAAATCCTAAACCCCCAAACCCGGGTTTGGAGTTTAGGGGTTTAGGGGTTTAGGGAATCCCTAAACCCTAAACCCTAAACCCTAAACCCTAAACCCTAAACCCTAAACCCTATGTAGGGGTTTAGGGACTGGGACTCAGGTCGTTCATGAGGCGCTGGGACGCTCACGGCCAGCAAATGCCTTCGGGGGCCCCGCTGGGGAGCTGACGCAGGCGGCGATGACAGGGTTTAGGCTTTAGGGTTTGGTGTTTAGGCTTTAAGGTTTAGGCTTTAGGCTTTAGGGTTTGGGGTTAAGGGGTTTAGGCTTTAGGGTTTAGGCTTTAGGCTTTAGGGTTTAGGCTTTAGGTTTAGGGTTTGGGGTTAAGGGGTTTAGGCTTTAGGGTTTAGGCTTTAGGCTTTAGGCTTTAGGGTTTAGGCTTTAGGCTTTAGGATTTGGGGTTTAGGGTTTAGGGTCCTGGAACAGGGCTGTATTAATTTATGGGGACTCGTCGGTTACAAGGGTTGTTTGAGGTTTGACAGAAGTCTAGGACATATTCAGGTGGGTAGTTACCGTTATAGGAGCCTTGTAGAAGGTCTATATACCTTATGGAAGCCGTATAGAAGCCCTATATACCCTGAACTCCCCACCTGTAGTTTCCTTTAATTGTGCGCTGGGGCCTCTTTGGATTGCAGTTGGAGTATGGCCTTGATTCGATTGTTTATAGGGGCGTGTATAGTTCGAACAGGGCTTGCTTGCCAGTTTAGTATAATATCGGGGCCTTCAGAATTACATGTAAAATTGTGGGGGGCTCTTTATTTAAATGTATATTGTAATTTATACTTCAATACCTTATTCTAATCATTAAGGCCCCTACATTAATGCTACAGGAACGAGAAGAGATGCTTTTGGTCGATATTCTGGAAGCGGACTGTGTATTTTGAATTTAGGGTTTAGGGTTTAGGGTTCAGGGTTTTCGGACAACAAAGTTCCGTCCAAGAACCCGTACAGTTTGGCGGAGCAGCTTTCAGAACGAGCCGTCCGGAAAGTGTTTCGAAACCTCAAGGTAAGGCTAAAGAACAAGCAGGTGACAGTGTGCAAGATTGGCCCCGAAACCCTAGACCCCAAACCCTACTCTCCGACTAAACCCTAAACCGTAAACCCTAAACTCTAAACCCTAAACCCTAAACCCCTAAACCCTAAACCCCTAAAGCCTAAACTGGCTCCGCTCCCAGACACGCGAGCAGCGGAGGATCTGCAAGCAGCGCGTGCTATCGTGCAATGGGCGCAATGGGCTCCGGGCTTCTCTCCGGAAGGTCGCAGACTGCCTCGGGGCGCTGCGCATCTAATATAGGGGCCTTAGAATACTTAGATTAGGGTTCGGGGGTATATTAGTCTATAAGGGTTACTAGAAGGGGTTATATATAGTGGGCCTTAGAATACTTAGGGTTCGGGGGTATATCAGTCTATAAGGGTTACTAGAAGGGATTATATATAGGGGGCCTTAGAATACTTAGATTAGGGTTCGGGGGTATATCAGTCTATCAGGGTTACTAGAAGGGATTATATATAGGGGGCCTTAGAATACGTAGGGTTCGGGGGTATATCAGTCTA